AGAGGGAAGGCAGCTAGTCATTACCACCCACCGCCAACCCTTGGGCTACTCTTTTACCAACGAATTGTGGGATTGATCGAATCTTTATAAGTCCCCACGGCTGAAAGAGCGAGCATGTTTGGTGGGACGGGGGATTCGAACCCGCGACCCGCAGATTACGAGTCGAGCGCCCTAACCACCTGGCCATGCCGAGCCCATTAGAAGAATAACATTTTACTGGTCTAATCTTTAGATAATGTGTGAAAATGACAATTTTTTGATTTGCTAAAAATTAAAAGCATCACCTGGCTTGGTTGACAGATAAAATAAAAACTGATATTTATTTGTAACACAAACTAACGAACTAAAGGGCATAGCATAATTTTTTAATTGTCAAGTACATTTGTGTTTTCTTTTTTAGACTCTATAAACTTCAAAATAGAAATATCTGTCATTAACTGGATTTTTTAAATAGAATAACCAGTTGTCTACAAACTTCAAAATAGAAATATCTGTCATTAACTGGATTTTTTAAAAAGAATATGCAGTTGTCTACAAACTTCAAAATAGAAATATCTGTCATTAACTGGATTTTTTAAAAAGAATAAGCAGTTGTCTACGAACTTCAAAATAGAAATATCTGTCATTAAATTGGATTTTTTAAAAAGAATAAGCAGTGGTATAATGCTGAATATATAATTTCTCTGTAATTTCTATCACACATATGACATTACCATCAAATTAAAGGACCCATACTCAAAACCTAATTTCCATTTCAGTATTTCAGGTGGTGAAGCGTTTCTCCAGAGCACTACATCCCTGAGAATAAAACATTAAATATTGTAAATATTACTTTGACATACTTACAAGAACTTAAAACTCCAAGTTAAGTGTTTTTAACTTAGTATTTGTATTAAGTATTATATGAGAATTACTTAAAGAACTACAACTTCAGCGATTCTAACATAACAAAATGTTAAGTCAACACCATAATATTACTGCTAGAATTATTACTAATTATCATTACACTATTCAAATAGCTACTGTGTCTGCTATAATGAATTACAAACCTTAATTAAATACCTTCAATGATAAAATTTCTTATAAATGTTTCATAAAGTTTACTTTCATTCATTTATTTATTTACACATTATTGTACAAGTACTTATTTGTGTTAGTTAATGTACACAGCGTGGTCACAAGTAAATAGACACCACCTTTTCAGAAAAAAAATGAAATTTTTCAGTTATATTCACATGAATTGATATATTTATAATTTAA